GGTATAGGCAGCAGAATATTTCCCCGATCTCGGTTGGGGAACCTATTTTTTCACTATTCTTCTTCTTTAACATTTAAGATACTTAAGATGAGGGTCTATGATCTCGGTTATTTGTAATGTATCGAGAACTAGCGTGGTTTCAATCATGTGCAAAAGTGTATGAACCCTGGTGGTACATGGTTATGACGTCTGCATAGACACAGTAAGGTCCGGGGCTCAATTAATGACTGGGGAAACTTTTCAACACTCGCAGATTTCTAGCTCTCTTCTTTAACATAATTTGTATGTATAAGCATACAATTTATCAGTGTTTTTGTATCATATGTAATTCGCCATTACCAGGAGGGAAATGTTTTATAAACGTCTGTCTCATTATTATTCTAGGGAGTAGAGATGTTTTGCATATTAATAAACCCACGCATCCATAATCCCAGCTAGGAACGGTAACTTCCTATAAAAACGAATGCACGTATCGTATTCTAATCTTAAATCAATAATTAACACACTGCATGATTACATAGCAATGTTTCAGGAATGTTATGAATCATAATCATGATACAAGGAGGACCGTCTACGTGATAACATTGCAGGGACGTATACAGGAGCCGCGGCTCCCCCACCCCCACCCCTTTGTACACAGAGTTAACATTTTCAAGCTTGTTCTTGCCAATACAAAAGCTTTCCAGGGATCACTCAAAATGAATATTTCTAAACTATGTAAATATGCATCAGCACACGTTAAACATAGGCCTACTATAATAACACATAGACCTAAGCGTGATTTTTAAAAATCTTAAATTCATAAATCCCAAGCCAGGTTTTTTCAGATACAGAAATGTGATATTGTATGGTTCAGTTTGGTTTTTATCCTTTTGCAAGCTCTATAAAGTTTTATTTTAATACTACTCTACAGTACTACTAGTAGAAATAATAATAATAATTATGATGATGACGATGGTGATAATAAGAAAATAATATTAGGCCTAAAAAGTAAAGAAAATTGTGTTAAAGGCGAAAAAGTAAGTTGTGATTTCTTGATCATAATTATTATAGTATAGTTAAAAGCTTAGTATTCTATAGTTAGGCCTAAGTTTGTCCTGGATATTAAGTAGATCCCTGATAAAAGATCATGAGAAATTTGTTGGCGCTTCATTTTGACTTTATAATGATGATGTGATGATGATGAATTTCACTATATAAAAGTGTCATTTCCGGCTATCTAGAGGTACTATTTTCTCAAATTTTCTCACCTCAGCCCCGACTATGGTGGGGCCGAGGTGGTTGTGAAATCACGGCTTCGAAATGTAAAGTACATACTCAAAGACAATGTTTTTAAGCTTTATTTTCTATGGTACCGTACATCACACATATTAATAATATCTTTATGGTTGCCGAAAATCCCTGATAAAAGATCATAAGAAATTTGTTGGCGCTTCATTTTGATTACATATAATTATTGTGATGGGATGATGATGAATTTTACTAAAAATGTCATTTTCTGGTCATCTAGAGGTAATATTTCCTCAAATTTTCGCAACTCAGCCCCAATCATGGTGAGTCTGAGGTAGGTTTTGACTCACGAAATGACACCCCACCCCCACCTCCACCTTTTAAAACAGATTGCGCCCTCCCTGGGTATGATATTAAACTCTATCTACCTGACTCGGAGTATGGTGAATGCCGATGAGGCGAGAATGCTTAAATTTGTTTTTAGGATGTGATCTGGTTTTACATGCCTAGCCCTTTTTTGTGATTATACTTGGATAAAGAATGTTTCGAGCAGTGGTTGATTTAAGGCGATCCCTCCCCTAATTTTTTTTAATACAAAAAAATATAGGCCCCTATCCAAATTTAAGTATGAGAGTGTAATTTCCGGCCATCTTGACGTGCCCTAATCATAAATTTTCTTACCTCAGCCACAACCATGTTGGGGCTGAGGTGGGTGGTTCCTCAATTTGCAAAAGTCACTCTCTAGGCCACCTCTCTATCGAATTCCTGGATGCACCACGGTTTAAAGCTTATATGGTTATTGTTAGGCTTACTAATATTATTTATAATGCGTTATCGCAATTTTCACCTTATCATCTCAAAACAGTCCTAAGAACATTCAGAGCAGGCTACTTTCCATGGGGATTTGCCCGTGGACCCCCTCCCCCCAACGGTTACTACGTACCTCGCATAACGGCTTCCCCCCAACCCCACCCATCCTCCTTTCAAAATCCTGGCTACGTCCCTGTAACGTTTCAAACAAAATAACGTAAAATAAAGTGAAATGGATCAATATATATGCTTCAACTTTCAAGCCTGCTTATTAGGCCTATGCAACACATGTCTTGGCTTGAAATCCCGTGACAGCATATTATTTTATCTCACCATTAAAATGTCTCCAATCGCAAGTAATGCGAATTTATAAAGCAGCACTTCATTATTCTATTCATGTATGCATTTCATATGGAATTTGGTAAATAGTAAATACAGTTATCTATTTTACAGTGCCTCTGAATAGGCTTAAACGACCTAGGATAAGCAGGGTCTCCAGCTAACGTCTCTTTCATTACATAGTGTCAACACTTATTCGATGTTGGACACAAAATAATAGCTGCAAAATACGGCAATTTCCAGACAAAACGGTTTTGTCATTCAGTAGAGTTTTCAAAGAAAGTTGCCTGTGGGTGTATTGAGCTAGACAAACAAGAGACAAAAAAGACTGCAAACATGGTCTTGGTATAATAATAGTCGAAAATATAATCTTTATTCCCATACAAACAACATGAAAGCAAGGCCATTTTATTATTTTACGTTTCGCTTTGATTTAAGCATCATCAGAAGTAACAGACCTATCAACAAAGGAACAAATATTATGTATTATTCCTGATGATGCTTTAAAAAAAATCGAAACGTAGAATAAAATGGCCTTGTCAATTTTTGGAGTTACATTCATATTGTACTTAAACTCAGTGCACATATATACTTCATTGAAGACTGTTATTTAAAAACGGAGACATGTGGACGGTACATCAATGCTAATGTTACGCGTCTACTTTACAGTCTTCGAATACCAAATTGTAATAACATTTTCTGCAGCTGTCGCCGGTAACTTAGAGATTTACTTTATATTCATGTTTACCATGAAATAACGGGTGTGTCACGTGCAACCACATTAATCATTATTATTCTCATTGAACTCAATGTCGAGTAATCTCTACCTAAATAAAAAATAATTATCTATCTACTCAACTTGAAATTTAGGTCGTATTGCTGCTAATGACCTATGCAGCATATAACGCAAGAATATAATTATTGTTCTGTATTCTTGTAGTCAATGCAGTACTTACCATTTCGACAGTCTTACGGAAAATTAAAAATTCGCTCTTCTCAAGTCGCTATGATGATGTGAATCAAACGGTGTGTAATCATACAAATTTATATAACTTGTTTCTAGAATTTTTTACATCTATTTTTGCTAACGATTTCTTAATTATTCTATTCTTGTATAATTCCACCTCCACTGGAAAATCCCGTGTTGATGTTGAACCGCAGTCGCTGTATCCGGAAACTACTCCTATATAATATAGATGGCACTGTTACCTTTGTGAAGAGTATAGAACAAGCGTTCACGAAGCTCCCATGGCTACATAACGAATTTTTGTTTTATCCTCTGGAGAAGCAAACGCCCTAGTTCAACATTTATTCAATTCATAATATAGAATTGAATAATGAAACGAAGTAGATAATGTGTGTCCTTTCAATTTAGGTTATTAGTACAATGTTACACAGGGCAAGATAATGATGGGGAATTAGTGGATGAGAAAAAGTATATCATGGTTACCATACATTGGTAGCGCCAGCGTATGAAACTTGGGGGTGGGGAAGGGGAAGTGAGGGGAAAGGTAAAATTTTAGAGGGGTGGGGGTGGCAATATGTTTTCCCAGATCGGCGATACAATTTAAGATAAGGGAAAATTAACACAATGCATTTGCGTGATTTAACGTGATAAGCCCTCTGCTGGATAAGTGACTGCCCTGCGTCAACTTGAATAAAGCGATTGATATGATTGGATGGGGGAGAGGCAAAACAATTTTCTGGAGGAAATGCCCCGCTTCCAGTGGCGGTGCTACGAGGGGGGTTTCCCCCGTCCCCACCTACCAAAAAATTAAAAAGATATTTTAAAGAAAAGAAGAAAAACCATTGCAGAGAAAAAAATGATATCGATTTTTCTACATAGGCCTATTAGTAGACAATCCACCTAAATCGATTACATAAGCCCCTGAAACCCCTAAATTGTCATATTTTTCGGAGGCTTCGCCCCTGGACCATTTTCGAGATATTTTGAACGACGCCCGACCACGCCCACCTCGGGCTACCCCAGCATATTTCCCCCCCCCCCCTAAAATTTTACCTTGTCCCTCCCTTGCCCTCCTCCCCCCCGGTGACCCCGAAGATTTCAGACTCTGGCGCCTCCA